CAACTTACGTGGGAGGTATAGATGTATTTTATTTGTGAATGAATGTAATATAAGGTATAAATCAAAAAATAATATTTTAGTATAAATAACTGTAACCTACGTACAATGTATGAAGATTTGTTTATGTTTTCGTGTTTTTATTATTTGTAAGATTGAAATCGATACTGTTGTATACTGCATCGTAGAAGGGTTAGAGATTAAAAAATGTTTAACCATTTCTCCTGTCTATCTTAATACCCGATTAATACATCACACACGTACACACGCACACACAAACACATATATATATATATATATATATATATATATATATACGATGCGTAATTAATTACACAACTTTTGGTTAACTTTACTTAGAAGTTTATTAATATTTATGTTATATTAATTTTTATTTTGTCATATATGATCGTCAAATATCACGTCCTCAAATATCGATAGTAATTCACCAGTCACCCTGTATATATGTATAATAACCATTACACTGTTGTTGTAAGAAATTTTCTACGTCATTAGTGTTAAATAATTCATGAGTTTAATTTTAATTTTATTAATTAAATTAAACTGTTCCTACCAATCACTCGTTAAACTAGTAAATATACTCACTGTTTTTATAATTTAAATTTAAATGACTCTTAACATTAGGTCGACCCAGTTTATGACATCGTAAAATATTCCATTGTAATAATGATCTTGATGTTTCTTTGCTATGGTTTTCTTTGAAGTATTTTTACACCATTCGTGATTTATTTGTGATTTGGATAAATATGGTTGGTTGTGTTTTAATTATTTTATTAATTATATTTTATTTAGTTAATTACCGGACGATACAAAAGTAATATTATTATTTTGGGGAAACCCTTTTTGTTTGTTGTGCAATATTTCATTTCATGTTCTATACTAATGCTTATATATAAAAAGCATGTTTTAAGTTTTGTCTTTATTTGATAGACGTTATAAAATGTACTGTTTATTCTTAATAAAATCAAATTATAACTATCTAAATGACATATTATTGAATTATATATTTGCAAAATTAAACGAGCGAGAAGATTCGCGGTATAAACTCGTATAGACTTCAAATAGGTACACCGAAGTTAGGAATTTTAATTAATATTTATAAAATAAGAAAAATATATAAACAGATATATTCTACTTAATAAATCAATTTTGAAGTAATGATGTCGAGCTGCGAGTTATTTATAATAATACTTGATTTATTGCATACGTTGTTTTTCTTACATATATACATAGACCACGTTACGAGAATACGAGCATAACACAATGCAACTGTTATGCTTTAATAATGCGGGAAATATATAGAAATTAATGAAAAATTATGTCCTATGTCTTATTCTGATGTCTAAACTATATTACTGTAAAGTTTTATCCATTCTTTTATACACGATTGCAAGTCTAGAAGATTTCATAGTATGCAATCGCAATTATACGATGGATTGTAATTGCTATTTCTGTGGATCTTTAAAATTCACTATCCATTTTATTTAATAAAATATGTTTGATTTCAATCAATGCTTTGTAATCTTAAGAAATAAATTTGACATTTTTCTTTTAAATTAGTGTCAGATATAAACAAATAAAATGAATAACTTTGTAAGATAGTGAATATGTTTTACCAGAGAAGTAGGATTGTCTAGCGTTACCAGTTTATTGTGAACCTAAAAGTATTGTTGTGTTTCAATATTAACACACATATCAGCATTCTCTTTTAAATTGGAGGATCAAAGTAAACTGGTGATAATTAAAGACAACATGCCTCTATTACAAGATTCCTTTACGATCTTTTCTTCAAAGGTTTTCTTTGTTCAGATCTTTACTTAACGTTAATTGAAATATGTATAAATCTATACTAATATTATAAAGCTGAAGAGTTTGTTTGTTTGTTTGTTTGAAAGCGCTAATCTCCGAAACTACTAGTTCGAATTGAATAATTCTTTTTGTGTTGGATAGTCCAGTTATCGAGGAAGGCTGTGGGCTATATAACATCACGCTACGACCAATAGGAGCAAAGATATAGTGGTAAATGTGTAAAAAGCGGGAGAAATTATTTCATCTTTGAAGCCTTCCGTTGCGTGCGCCGTGAAAACGGTTCAAGATACGCAAAAAATATGTATTAAAGAATAATAGCTCTTTTAATGATCTAAAAACAGTCAGCGACAGTATATGTCTATCTTTTAAGATTAACTCACAAAAACCGTTTTTATGGTACCTAATTTGGTCGAAATAATTTGTTTAAGTTGTATCAACATAATAATATTAATCTTTATTCAAATAAACAAATAAATATGTTGTTGGTTAAGAGTACTTCATTATTATTAAAAAAAAATAGGTTTTATCCTGAAAATTCTAAGGGAACTCGACCATTCCGAAAACCCCGCAAGAACGGGAAGTATGTGGGAAGAACCAAAAGTCTGCCGGAAGTCACTACTCCACGCGGACGCAGTCTCGGCAAAAGCTAGTACGAAATACAATATTAAATTTCAAATATATTTTTTATATATAAAATAATATTGGGCCTATGATAGATAATTTTTCAGTTTACGCTACATTATAAAAAAATATAATACATATATATGTATAAATAGGTCTCGAGTTAATGTTCGAAAATTATTGCATATTTTCTAACAAGACCTATTTATTTTGGATGAAACTTTTTAAATTATGAAATAAAACGCGTTCAATTAATTTTTAGGTCATTGTATTTAATATTATTTTATAAATATAGATATAATATTAAAGTTCTATAAAAACAATATGATTGGGTGGAATTAATCACTTAGTACACCGCCTTTGTCAACATTAATTCTGTATTTAAAATAACCATGTAATTTTTTTTTACTGTGCAATAAAGAGCATATATACAATGAAATAAGTAATTTTGAAATAAATAAAATATTATGTATATATTAAAAAGGTTTATGTAATTAAATTCTAACAGTCACTACATACAATCAATCGACCTGAATAACCAGTTATCTGTTAAACTGATGGACGTCCACTCATAATTTTAGCTATTGAATTAATAGCTGTCAATTCAATTAATGTTTTATAGCTTGCAGTAAAACTGACTTAGCTTGTAAATTAAATACATTTATATTATCGTGTGTATTGAAGGAAAGAATGTATAACTTTGGTGATTTTTTGTTCCGTCTGTTGTCCGTCGTTGATGCTCTAGTGTCAGAAATTTAGCTATTATAGCCTATGTAGAATTGACTAAAATTGGAAGGTTTAGTTTGGTCATTCGTTAGAGATCCAAATCAATAATTCAAAAGTAACTTTACATTAAGACTTATATTAGATCTCTTTGTTTATAGGTAACTAGTAAACCCGGCGAACTCCGTTTCGCCACCAGAAGGCAGTTATATACCATTTCGTTTGGTGATTAAAAGATGAAGAATTTTTTTTATTTTAAATTTGAAAAGGAAAATTTTTATTTCATTTCACAACAGTAATGAATTCATTTCGATTACAAAAATGAAGTGTTATTTAGTTCTCTAAGTAAATGAAAGTGAATCCAAAGTAGATACCGAATCAAAGTCTTATACGTGTCCGCAAATTATCCGTTTCATTGAAGTGGTCCTTTGTAAACCACATTTTTTATTTTTTGGTCTAACTTTAACACAAATAATGCGGATGGTTTCCAAACTCGTGAACACGCAAAATATAACGCCCATGTGAAAAACAAAGATTTTCTAAAATCCCGCAAATACTAAATGGTCTTAAGAGTTCAAACTACAAACACAATACCGGTTTGTCACATGAAATTAACTGAGCAGAGAACAATGAGTAGCTGTCAAACAATGTATCATGCACCGGCGCCATCTACTTAAAATATTGATTTGTAGTACATGTTTTACAACGAATGCAAAACCGTGGAAATTGGTTCGTTCATTCTGAAGTTATAGCGTCAGGATGGAAAACCGGACTTTTTTTTATATAGTAATAAGAAGATCTCTTACAAATATCTAATTGTCAACATTACGTCACATTACATATCTTTTATTACGTTACATATCTGTCATTATACGTCAATTGCATAGCTGTCAATTGTTTCGTTATTCCACGTTTTATAGTGACTGACGTTTCATGTCAAGTCCCACGGGAATGCTGTCGAACGGGATAAAAAGTATCCTATTGCAATTTCCTGGTTCTAAACTACCTCCCTGTCAATTTTCAGCTAAATCGGTTCAGCCGTTCTTGAGTTATAAGTGGAGTAACTAACAAGACTTTCTTTTATTTATATAGATGGTAAAGGAAAGCGCTCAAGAATACTCCGTTTTAAGGAATATACAATATATTTTGCTTTGCTTCTTTTGTAACTAAAAAATCTATCGTGAATAAATTCAATAAGAACTGATTTTATGATAAAAGTAAAGATCTTTTTACAACATCGTAACTAAAACACGGTCATTAGATATAGGCAATGTTAACCATTGATAATTCTCAATTTTAATTTAAATAAACAAATGAGAATATCTCTATAGCGATTAAATGACTGTATTGCATTAATAGTCAATAATAATAATTGCAGTCACACAATTTGTAACATAGTGTATGTCACAATTAATTAATTAAAACTTCTAGTTTTAGTCATGGAGAAAATATTAGCATACAAATTTTCAAATATGGGTGACAGATTTCATTGATTGGTTTTGAATTCGAACAAAAATTTTATCTTCATTTTAATTCTGGTAATTTTATTGCATTTGTATATAGATTGTTATTACAATAGACATAAGGAATATTTTAGAATAACTACTATTAGAAAACAAAGTATGTTATTATAGAACAATTTTAACAATAAATTTTTAATAAATTTCGCAAATTATTATTAATTTCAAAACAATAAAAATAAATTGGATGTAGGTTTCTCTTTTGTTCGTTTACAATTTAATTATGCCGCAATCAAAGGCTTATATGCAAATGTATATAAAGATATCACTATATAAGTTCGCTATAAGTTCGCTACGGTATTCAATACGATGAATATCCGGTTGTTTTTTCTGTTTCTTATTTACCATATAAATAATGTGTACTGTAATTATTGTGATAATGAGTTATGTGACTACCTGAATCGGACAGACCCAGCGTCGAGACAGTTATATGAATTCAAACTCCAACACCCGGTATGAATGACAAATATTATGAGAAAATATTGTTCAGAATCCTTTCTTTAATAAATATCACATTATATATATATAATATATCTCTTTAACTTACAGAAACCAATAGGGATACTGACGGTCAGTTCAGGAGAGTTTGTAGAGATAAGACAAACCAATACATTCAACTCAGATCAGTTTATGAACCAGTTCCATACAGATTCAAATACTCACGCCAATTGTGAGAGAATACCTGAAAGATTTGTTCACGCTAAAGGAGGAGGTGCGTTTGGCTATTTTGAGGTCACCCATGACGTAACAAAATACATAAGCGCGGAACTGTTTGACACAATTGGCAAGAGAACACCGTTAGTGGTGCGTTTTTCTACCGCTGTGCAGAATTTGGGAGGGAATGACCTTGCTAGGGAGCTAAAAGGAATGGCTATCAAATTTTATACGCAAGAAGGAAACCTTGACCTCCTATGTCTCAATTTTCCAGTATATTTTTACAGAGATCCTGTATATTTTGCATTTTTCAGTCGTGCTTTTAAAAGAAACCCTAAAACATTCCTAATGGATTCCACAATGGTTTGGGATTTCGTAACTAAAAGACCTGATGCATTACACACTACCTTATGGTTGTTCTCAGATTATGGTATTCCTAATGGTTATAGAAAAATGGATGCATTTCCTATCCATACATACAGGGTGTATAATAAACATGGTGATACATACTTCATCAGATTCAATTTCAGGACCGAACAAGGCATAGAAAATCTTCCTTCGGATGTTGCTGCTGAAATTTCTTCCAGGGATTTAGATTATTACAATAGGGATTTGTATAATGCTATTGAGAACAAAACATATCCTTCTTGGAGATTAGACATAGATATCATGACATTCGATGATGTTAAAAATGTTGATTATAATCCATTTGAAATTAATAGGATATGGAAGAAGGGTACTTATTTTACAAAGACAGTAGGACGCCTTGTTCTAGACAGAAATCCTGATAATTACTTCAGAGTGGTCGAGCAGGGTGCTTTTAATCCAGCCAATTTAGTCCCGGGTATACCAGGTCCAATGGACTCGATGTTTCACAGCAGAAGGCAATCTTATCGCGAAGCTCAAATTTATCGTTTGGGAGTGAATCACAACAGAATTAAAGTCAACCAGCCTTTGTACTTCAAGGTATACAATCGTGACGGTGTACCTCCTTTGAAAGATAACATGAAAGATGCACCTGTTTATTATCCGAACAGCTTCAGCGGCCCCGTACCATATGTAGATCCAAATATGCCTAAAGAAAAGTTAAGAATTTTCGAAACCACTGCAGTTGATTTGGAACCGTCTGCAGATTTTTATAACTATATCTTGAAAACGGACGATCAAAGGGAGAGACTGGCCAATAACACTGTCGCAAGGTTAATAAGTGTGTCCCCGGATATGCAAAGAAGGGTTATACGATTGTTTAGTTTAACAGACCCTGACTTAGGTAGAAGAGTTGAACGTATACTGTTGGAAACATTGGAAAAGCCACCTCCTCCTGTATTACCTACTCGCGTACTAAAAGTACCCGCAACAATAAATTCTATATATGATAGCAAAATCAATGATGGGGACAAAAAAATCTCTTCACTTCATAATTGAATACTCGTTTGTACTCTTCCGAAATATAATGGAAGGCCCATTACTGATTTTCATTCATACATAAAAAAAAATTCAATATCAACTGGCACTACTCATTAATAATACTGTTTGTAAAATTTGCTTGAACTGTTTGAACAAACAAAATTATATGTATGTAGATGCGTTGTAAAAGTACGTTGATTCTTTTGACACAAAAAATGTTTTACTTATAGTAAGAAAGAAGACAATACAGGGATATAAGTTGTATAAACGGAGATGGAAAAAGTAAGAACAAAATTGATAGAACAAAAATGTATAAAGCTATCTTACATACTACTTATGTACGTAATGGTATGACACAATTCTATGAACTTCATGAAGGTTTCCATGACACAATATTCCTGTATTATTAGAAATATCAAATTGACTTTAATATGAAGAAAGTATATATTTTTTTCTCTACCATTAAAACTCTTGTTTCATTTACAATAAAACAAATATATTTTAATAATAATATTAATGGAAATGTGGATTTCAATTAATCTTCAAATAGTTGTAATATACGTCAATAATAACACTGGAAAACAGCATGTCTGTTGCATGAGATTTTTTACATGAATCTGAATAGTTTTTCCACGCTTATTTCAAAAATATATGCCGTTTTTATGTAGCAGCTCTAGTTTTGGAGTTATGAAGAGAAAGAGTTTTTCATTAAAAATGCACAAAATTGAAGTTTAAAAAATTATTAAATATATTTATTCTGAATAAAATTTCCTTTTTGTGGATTTTCTAGAGTGAGATGTATCATGAGTACTATTTTGAATGCTCTAACAATAACTAGCCATCATATATTCCTTCCAGTGCCCCTGATACCTGTTCTCCATAGAGCGAATATCCTGTTGGAAGCGCTCTCCTTGTTCCTCGCTTAGCTCACTTAGATTTTCAGGAAAATAGTCTAGATGGCTGTGAAGATAGTGAAGCTTAATACTCATGTTGCATCCAAGCCGCTGGAAGTGTATCAGCAACTGTTCAACGTGCTGAATGTAGCCGTCAGACTTAGTATTCTCAAAAAAATTCTCACTACTCAAACAAACTCTTCCCATGCACATTTCTCAATAGCTGTCATATGGTTGATGAAATTTTTATCATCTATCAACTTTTAGACAGGCCAAGATCCCTGATCAAGTCATTTAGATCATCTTGATTTAGTAATCGGGGACTATTGTCTCTACCACTGTCGTCGTTTCGGTTTGTCCGCTGCACTGGTCTGGATTTCCGAAGATCTACATGGCTGCTGTGGTGTTGATGTGTCACTAATAGTAAAGACTGGTCTTACGACAGATTTTTAGTTTGAATATATCCACTTAGAGCAATTTTTATGGTTTATTCCTATGATTTTCGTTACACAAAAATAACAGTCGTTATGATGGTTGGGTGGTTCACGCCATATCATGGGAGATTTGTACTTAAAATTTGGTCTTTTTTTGTTTGCCTATAATCGCAAAGATTCAATACAACTTTTACACACCAAAATTGGTATCAAAGGTTTAGCGTTTGATGGCAACGGAAACCCAAAGTAGCCGAAGTATGCCTTTTTTACAAAGTCTGACACACTTAAACGATATTTTCGGAACATATATTATCCGCAAATAGCACAAAAATACTCAGGATTATTTAAACATGTCTTTCTTGAGGAAGACATAATGAAATTTATAAAGGGACTAGTTAAGTTACACCGCTATTGGTAGAAACTATTAACCATTTGTGTAAATTCAAGACGGACCTGTATCTGACTAACTAGAGCTGCTACAAAAAATCTGAGATTTAAAATCAGCGCACCCAAATTAGTAAACAACAGTAGAAAAACTTCATGCAACAAAAAAAAAGTTTGATTGTGTTGTGCTGTGTAATTAGTGAATCGTGACAAGTATGGTCACGAGATGTTTTCATCAGTTTTTGTTGTTGAGGACTAATGGATCCGCAACACGTCATGGCTAAACATCTTATTAAACAAATAGTAAACGCACGCAAACATAAGACCATGAATTATCATCAATATTTTCAGCCTGATCACGGATGCATAATATAATTGCTCAATAAATATACTTTATAGGGAGGGGGGAAACAACTGCGATTATTTAGGTGTATCTTAATTTTAATAGTTAGTTTGTTGAAATTTAATAGTTAGTTTGTTGAAATTTTATACAGATAAATTTAAAACAAAGGATAATTTTTAGTTCAGCAACATCCAGTTTAATTTTCTATCATTTTTATTCATGTATGTAATCCAATATTATTGAGTACTTTTTAACATGATATGCACTATTGAATTTAACTGTAATTTTTGGATATGACTCTGTTTTAGTTTGTAAAGACTAATTGATGAGTCTTATGTCTTATCTCGTCTTCTTCGTTTTTGATCGAAGAACAATTTTCTTTATAACTTTATTATCAAATATATGATGTAATTATTAATACCCTAACCTATGATATTAAGACAATGTTGTTGAAATGATCAGATTTCCGATCTATTTAGATCTCAAGAACGAGGTCGTAATGACCTCTGTGAACCGAAATCTGGAGAACTTTGTTTAGAATGTCATTTATAGACAGGGTTTGTTTATAAAACAATAACACACTGAATGCCACTTACAGAGAATAACTATGAAGTAAACATACTATTTAGTTGACAGTGTCAGGGATGTTTAATACTATTTACTTTTTTGTCATATAATCTTAATAAAATCAGTTTTGCAAAACTTTCATGCAAGAAATTCAAGTCAAAAGTTGAACATTATAATTTTTGTATTAGTTTTGCGAAGTTAAAAGTACATTGTGGTTTTGGAGCGATATGTATAAATGAAGCTAATATTTATCGTATTATACCTCGTGTTATTTTATTATTGTAAAAACTACATTCTCCCGACTTTCTGGTTGCTTTCCAGCAACCGTGATCGCGGGCAGACGAGATGTGAATGTATATATATTTGACACAACAATTTTTTATAACATGTCGTTCACTGAAATTTTCATGTTTTAAATTAAATTATATTAAGATGATAAAAGATTGTCCATCGAATTTAAATTCTACATATATAAGATAAAAAAAAGCTCAATGTTATTGTTAGCTAGGATATTATAATACATTTTGAATCAAAAAAAAAATCTTTTAATGACTACAAATAAAAAAAACTTTGAATTCCGGTTACAGAAAAAATCTTCGAATTCCTTTTCGTCTTCTATGAAATTTTGGATTTTCTTGCGTAGTTTTATTTATTATAATTCAAAGTCATTTACAAATGTAATGCTAACAATAATATAGTTATGAAAAGAAAACATTTTTGATGAAAGTTTTATTTTGCAATTTAAGTACATATGTATTTTTTTATTTTTTTAATACCGTCGCCCATGGACATCCGCGACATAAGACATGTTGCGGATGTGTCACCACCCTTGATTTGGGAAGAGGGGGAGGAAAAATGGGAAGGGGTAAGAAAGGATGGGAAAAAAGGAAAGGGCAACCGGCTCTCTCACTCATCGAACGAAACGCAGCAACTAAGGCTACTTCACGTCGATCTTCTGTGAGAGGGTGATACTTCCCCGGTTGAGCCAGCCCATGTTCGAGCTGTAGTAACTTGACCACAACTAGGCTCTACCACCTCGATGTATGTTTGATTGTGGTAAACCTTGAATGACAATAAATTTGTGACGTGACATCTTAATTTATCATGGCGACATATCAAAGATGGCTGACCGGTTATTTTTGATGGACATCTTTAATACGAGTATCTAATTAAAAAAAATTGCTATGAATAATTCACAAAATGTACTGACATCTAAAATCTAATGTGATGGACTTTTTTTGCTTAATAGTAAATTTTAAAGGATATTCAACAGATTGAACTGAAATTATGCTCAAAACATACTTTTTATATGTATAATAATGTAAGTTTAAGATTATGATATTACCTTAATCCAATATGGTGTTTCATCCGATCTCGACCACTCATTTTACTGGCTTATAATATGAAAGGATTAGCTGAAAGAAATATACCATTCGATATAATGAAAGCTAAGGGTTACTAGAGACCTGCTTCCAGAGACAGCAAATGTACATAACTGAGCTACCATTTACTTGTAAAGACTTTGATAAAGAAAGTGTTTGACACAGTAAACCGTAGAGTGCAATATTTAGCAAGTGATGCAGAACGTACAATGGTAGCAATTAAATTATATACCCTTGACCATGTCTTTAAAACAACTTAAAGCTCTTCGTCTCTGGTTAAACATAAATAAAATTATTATAAGTTTTTCTCATTAAAAACGTAGAAGATGCCACATTTACTACAAAATAATTTTTGTACATAATGCGTTGTACGAGATGAACATCTGAGTAACGTTTTCAGCGATAGCTAAGGTGTAAAAAATAAATTAAAATTAAAAAAAAAATTGTTTAGACTTAACTTAAAGGTAAGAAAATGCAAACACGGACCATTTATTTCAAACCTCAAATTACTGTACTACTGAAAAAAATTAAACGAAATAACTTAAAGTGATTTTATACATATTTAAAATAAGTAAACTTTTAAATATCGAGACCAACTATTATGTAGAATAATATATGTAATAATTTTATAAGTAAATACCTAGTAAAAAATAAAATATATTCCTTTTTAATTCCCTTGTCGAGGTAATAGTTATGTTCCTTCTTTTAAAATACAAATAATTGGTATATTGTTTTTTAAACAGCGAAAATCATAGTGACTTTTTATTCATTCGTGTCTAGCAAAACAATTTAGAAGCGTCTATGTGATTGACTGGTTCACAATATCGGGCTATTAATCTTCAAGGTCATGTCGTTTCAAGTAAAAATCACTAAGGAAAAAGGCCTCTTCACACATGCAGAAAGTTAGAGCATTAAACACCCCACTTGCTCAAGACGTGTTGATGATTTCAAACTTGTAACTCGAAATTATAAGTCCATATTTCCTCACGATGTTTTCCTTCACCGCCTATCACTGGTGTCTAAATACTCTTAGACAGTACATATAACTCGGAACAATCACATTGGTACTTGCCAGATTTCGAACTCCCACCCTCATGCATGAGAAGCGGGCCTTTAACACAGATAAAACAGACATTTACTTTGCTAACAACCGCTTTATAACGATTATTATTAAACAAGAAAAAGTATACATACCTCTAATTAATGAATTTTGTCAACCCAAAACCTTTATATAAAGTTCCCATTAATATATAACTTAATCTTATTATGTGATTCTTGTCGCGACATGTTGCAACGCGCATTTGTTTCTTCTTCTTCTTCTACCTGGCAATTTCCCAGCTTTAACCAGGTTCTGCCTTACATGTTGTGAATAGTTTTGGCTAATTGTTTTTACGATCAGCCGCCTGACTGACATCAACCCTCTATGGGAATGCATTAAGCAGTTATGTGTAAATACTCTTAGAAATTACATATGACTCGGAATAATCTCATTGGTACTTGCCAGGATCGAACCCGCGCCCTCGTGCATGAGAGGCGGGCCTTTTAACCACTAGGCCACCACTGACTATCGACAAGCTTTTGTTTGTAAAACAATAATTGTTGTTTTACAGAAAGTAATGTAAACACGTCTTCACGTCACTGTTGTTAAAGATTTAAGTAAAAAAAAACTGCGTTTTTAGCTCTTTATAACGAATCTTAGAGCAACCTAATATCAATATATCAAACCTCAGTTTAACGAATTATTTGGTATATCGATTATTTTCTTGATCCCCTCCGATTTGTTTTATCGAGGTTGCACTACACTAGTGTTGCCTCCTGTCTATTTATGTCAATTTTATATATTAGGAGCTAATATTACTCATTCAAATATTTTTAAAGTTTATTTCAAATATTAAACCATCGTTAATTTGATACTTTATTTATAACAAAAAAGACATTATCTAGTAACAATTTATAATCAGTAGCACGAATAAGAATAAGGTGTGGAGAAAAAATGTCGTGATCAAATTAGTTTCTTTGGTTGTAGAAAGATGGTTTTTCAGTTTAAAAGTATTTTCTTTTTAAATTTCTCTGTAAAAAAAAAACACAATTTTTATTTATTATGTGAGTATTACTGGGTAATTCGTATTTGTCAAAGATTTACTAAAAATTTATATTCGATTTTAGATTTATATAGATACATTTACAGATATATTTTATATATTTAAAGATATATTTTTTTATGAATAATTTAAGCGTTAGTCTTGATGGCACTTTTCCGCAAAATTTTAAATGACATAGAACAATAGGACAGTTAATATTCTCATTTGGAATACTACAAATCATTATCAAGATTTAATAGGTTTAAATTCGGATATATTTCATAAGTTCGTAAATTTTAATTACGTTTGATCACGAAGATATCAATTTCATCATTACTAGATATGCAATAACACGGAATAATAGTATTTAATACGGATTATTAGGTATAGTAATTAAATTTCTTTGGTGTGGTCATTTTTTGAGATAGAAGTTATTTGAAGGTCTTAAGACTTAGTGTTGTTTAATGGTCTTCTGGTGGTTAAAACTTTCTTCGTGTTATATCCGATCAAAGACATATGTCATCTGTTTTTTCATAATCTTTAAGGGTCAGACATATTGTTAGATAAATTCTAATCTACTTAAAAAGATTCGTTACATGACAAGGTATCATCAATCCAGCGCCGACCCGTCCTAGATTAATAATTACAGACACATTTAAATTTTTATCGGACTAATTCGTTTGCAGTTTCACTTGAGACAAAAAAATATCTTTACATGTATGATATATGGAAAAAAAAATCACATTGTGATTTATGTTTCACAGTTTTGTTTTAATACTTAATATCTAATTAAAAATTTCCGGGAAGTTAATAAAAACGATACAATTTAAATACAAATATTCGTCGGTTGTGGAACATTATAGTTTTTATCATAATGGAGGGCGCCGGTGCGTGTAGCTGTTTACTTTTTCTTATTATACAAGCATTGGGCGTATTCACCAGTGATATTGATTATATTGAATATTTGAACCGAACAGATCCAACGAAAATTCAACTCTACCAATTCAGGAGAGAACACCCGGTATGATTTTATATTATTATAGCTTCATTCATTGTTAGACTCAAATGTCACAAAGCAGGAAATTGAAACGTTAACTTATTGGATGGTTTTCGATTCGGTAACGAAAAGATACTTTTTTTGAAATTAACAAAAATAAATTATACTTAAATTCTTTTTTTTTAATCTTACTGCATTTTAAAATAATATTTCCTGCCACACAAGGCATAGAAAGTCTTCATTTCACAATAAAAATACTATTTTTCTAGTTAGATATTTTATGTATTTAAAAATTATAAATATAAATTTCGAAAATCGAGTACTCATAAACACTTTATGTTCTAATAGTTTTCCCATTTGAATATATATTTTTTATTTTAGTAATAATATGTGCCTGTATTATTCAGTTATTTACAGAAATAATATCAGAACCTCTTTGGTCGTAATTGTTTTCAATTTCATGTCTAATTTGAAATGTCAAAATTTAAATGTAAGTATATTTCAAAACTATGAACTTTAATAATAATTACTGTCATGTATATTCTAAGAGCTAGCAACGTAAATAAACAAGAATTTCAGGTAGGCTAGTTTTTAGGTATGCTATATCTCACACTCCCCTGGACGTACTACGGGCTATCTGGCTGCCGGTAGTGGTTGCGTTCATCAGTGCGCATCGTACTTGTGCAGGTAAACAGATTATTATTTCAAATCATTTTAAGAAGGTTTTTTTTTATTATTATTATTTATATTGAACTATTCACAACATAAATTTATTATTGCCAGATATTTTTATTGTTGTTTAAACGGTACCAAACGGCAATGTTGAATTTAAAAAAAATTTAAAAGCTCAGAATTAATTTGTGTAAATAAATAAAGTGTAAAGAGATGTAGTATCATTTAGCTTGGTCTAGAAAATTAATCGTCTAATAAATGATGTTTGAGATAGCATATCAACTAGCCTACCTGAAATTCTTGTTTTTTTTTGACGTTGCTAGCTCTCGTACCATTTGGTACTCTGAATGCTCGGTAGATCAGTTCGTCTGTATTGTTTTTGTAAAAACGAATCAAAATAGAAATAGAAAAATATACATATTTTTATTTAAAATAATAAAATAAAAGGGAAATATGCTCTTCCAAGCAATTTCGTAAAATCTCGCCTTAAATTGACTTATAAATTTTTGGTCTCCCGTATGTAAAAAACAAGTTAGTTGTGATTATCGCATCATAACAATTATATGATTAACACAAACTTGCTTAATTATATCAAAAACACTTTTTTTTTCTGCGGAGATTTAAACATATGTACATGTTGTAATATAATGTAATTTTGAAACCTTCATTGTTTAAACACATCAGGAGGCCGCAGTGTCAGTGTTATATATTATGTATGTTGAAGTAACGCGCTTAGAAGTACTTTTATTATTAAACTTTTATGATTTGTTTTATTATAGTAACATACACTTTACAGTAAAAGATTTATATTCGAATTTTAAGTATTTCATTATGTTGAATGAATCCCCCCTCACAATGTTAGCCATGTAAAGAAAGATTTATGTTTTTAGTTGATGTTAAAAATCACTGTAACTGACGTAAATGACAGTAGTATGACTTATTTTCAAATGCATTTAAAGTGAAAGCATAACATTATATTCGATCCTGGATCCAGGATCGAACCCGGTCCAGGCCAGGATCGATTGGTTAAAAGGCCCGTCTCTCATGCACGAGGGCGCGGGTTCGATCCTGGTCCGGGCCAATGTGATTTTTCCGAGTCATATGTACTTTCTAAGAGTTAGACATCACTGATTAATGCATTTCCAAAGAGGGTTGACGTCAGGCAGGCGGCCGGTCGTAAGAACAATTAGCCAAAACTATTCACAACATGTAAGGCAGACCCTGGCTAGAGCTGGGAAATTTCCAGTTAGAAGAAGATGCTATATCACAGGATCCATTCATTCTCTTTGTTTTCGTAGCTGCAGCAAATGTGTGCTCGTTGTTGAATTGTTTTGGGTAATTTATAACTAAAATAATCTTTAAACAACTTAAACAAACGCAATTATGAGAAGAAAGAAATGTGAAAATAATAATAATTCCTCTCGTTGAAAGAAAAGGAAGTGGTTGCATAACCCCAACTCATAACATCTTACTAGGAGAACATAAAACCGAGCTGGTCATGTTTATCTGTTAATTTGTTAGCAAACTCGTATATTATACCTATCTCTAGTACTACTTCAGCCTTATGAATGCTAGGTTCCCCTTATTATAAATATGTTTATTAATGGTTCATTGATAAAATTAATATCCACTTAATTAATTATACATAGTATCTAAGGTTTAATAAAAAAAATTTGATCTCAAATTTATATCACCTTTAAAAAAATGATTTAACAAATAAATAGGTGAAGCAATATTACAAATAAAATTTTCCAAAAAAATGACAAAGCGATTTTCAACCGCGATTTTCATCCGCGATTTTCAACCGCGATTTTCAACCGCGATTTTCATCCGCGATTTTCATCCGCGATTTTCAACCGCGATTTTCAACCGCGATTTTCATCCGCGATTTTCAACCGCGATTTTCATCCGCGATTTTCAACCGCGATTTTCAACCGCGATTTTCATCCGCGATTTTCAACCGCGATTTTCAACCGCGATTGTCATCCGCGATTTTCAACCGCGATTTTCAACCGCGATTTTCAACCGCGATTTTCAACCGCGATTTTCATCCGCGATTTTCATCCGCGATTTTCATCCGCGATTTTCAACCGCGATTTTCAACCGCGATTTTCATCCGCGATTTTCATCCGCGATTTTCAACCGCGATTTTCAACCGCGATTTTCATCCGCGATTTTCAACCGCGATTTTCATCCGCGATTTTCAACCGCGATTTTCAACCGCGATTTTCATCCGCGATTTTCAACCGCGATTTTCAACCGCGATTGTCATCCGCGATTTTCAACCGCGATTTTCAACCGCGATTTTCAACCGCGATTTTCAACCGCGATTTTCAACCGCGATTTTCAACCGCGATTTTCAACCGCGATTTTCAACCGCGATTTTCATCCGCGATTTTCATCCGCGATTTTCAACCGCGATTTTCAACCGCGATTTTCAACCGCGATTTTCAACCGCGATTTTCAACCGCGATTTTCATCCGCGATTTTCATCCGCGATTTTCAACCGCGATTTTTATCCGCGATTTAATTTCATTAAATTTTTTTTTATCTCAATTTTGTACAACAATAAAGTATTATTTTTATACCGTATTCATCTATAAATAAATTCAATAGTTTTTAATCCTTCCATCATTTATTAGACGATTAATTTTCTAGACCAAGCTAAATGACACTACATCTCTTTACACTTTATTTCGATCTGGCAAAAGGTTTAACAACCGATTTTTTATCTGGCACATTAATTCTGAGCTTTTAGATAGTTAAATAACATGCTATTAAAATTTCAGCTATACTAAAATATTTTTGAAATTTTTTTTTTTAATTCAACATTGCCGTTTGGCACCGTTTAAACAACAATAAAAATATCTGGCAATAATAAATTTATGTTGTGAATAGTTCAATAAAAATAATAATAATAAAAAAAAACCTTCTTAAAATGATTTGAAATAATAATTCGTTTACCTCCACAAGTACGATGCGCACTGATGAACGCAACCACTACCGGCTGCCAGATAGCCCGTATGACGTCCAGGGGAGTGTGAGAGATAGCATATCTAAAAACTAGCCTACCTGAAATTCTTGTTTTTTTACGTTGCTAGCTCTCGTACCAGTACTAATGTCATGTTCTGATTGAACCTAAGTGTAAAAAATTTTAAAGTTTAAAGGTCAAACTTCGAAACATGGTTTCAGAAGTGATAAAAACAAAATTTCATTTGTTTTCATACAAACATTCATTTTTCTTATCATATATAAGTTTTCTTAATAATTCTTTAGATTTATTTCCTGCTATGTACAATCGTCCTTTAATCTAAGAGATAGTGTAGTTTATATTTTTAGGAAAACACAACTTTCATAGAAGAAATGCTTTTCGTATTATTTTATTTTATTGAGTACAATAGTAGAACTTCTTATTTTATATAATATAATTATCTTTAATAATCATTTCTATTTTTCTTCTTTCTGAAGTTTTCTATGTTTCTTTCAGTATAGAGCGTAATTCAAATAGCGATATATATGTATATATTTGTCATGTATGTAAGGGCTCTTTTGTGTTTAATATTAATCATTGAGGTTTTTTGGTTATTGGTTAACTATAGACTTGAACTCTGTAAAATTAACGTGCGTAGTTACTGGCAGCCACAGAATACCAGTGTTGAAACTCATGACAATGATTTTTCAACATAAGCTGAGTGGCCAACAAATTTAGGCATCACGTTCAAGTTGTTCTTTTTTTATACTGTTTTTTATATGTAAACTGTGTATGTCTAAATAACGATTTTTTGATTTTGATTTTTGATTTGATTTTAAAAATTTTAAAGAAGTAAAGCCGAATACAATTTCGTTTCACTTTACATATACGTTTTGCGGATTAATTTACAAAATACTACGTTAATAACCCGTAAGTAATATTAATCTATTTTTATACATAATGACCAAAGCGAATTTTATTTTTCATAGAATTTATGGAGCATAGTTCACATATTTGGCAAATCTTTTGCAGTTTTATTATGAATCAGCGTTGCTATTAGTTCGTTGGGATAAAATATGATATATTTTCTCTTACTATTTGAATTAATTTAAACTCTAAAAAATTACTTTTGCTTATTACTATCAAGTATTTTGATACTGATTTCATATAAATAAGAGCTGATGCTAAATGTTTTTATCTGATTTCCAATTTTTATGAACTTTCTAATAAATCAGAGATTTCTTTATCAGAACATTATAGAAATTGAAAATCACATTTTTGCGAGCTGTACTGCTGTTTTTATTTCGATTCCCAATGTTTACCTGAAACTAATAGACATCAATATTTCCCCTTCAGAATAGATAATTTGATATATCTATACCTCTTTTCCCACTCATGAGTTTTTGAAAACAATAGCTGTTTGCAATATTTTGTCTTTTATTCGCGAGATCTTCTATGTCTTCTAAATTGTAATAATTAAATGAACTTTAAAAACTCTCTGACAAATGATGATCTCATAATTGACGAGATCTTCCATGTCTTTGAAATAGTAAAAGTTGAATGATTATAAAAAACTAATGAGATCTAAGATTTTCGTCAGATCATTTAAATGAAACTAATATTTGCGGATTTTTTACGCGTTTTTTTATTTTATTTTTCTCTCTCTCTCTCTCTCTCTGTCTCTCTCTCTCTCTCTCTCTCTGGCTAATGATGCTGTCATTCGCATATAAATCTTGAATCACGTCTCCATCTATTGTGAAAAATTTCACAATACACCGCTCAAAATATTAACTTGAATTCTAATTTTTCTTTGTCGGTCAATTTATAATTAGCGAATCAATGTTTGCGTCAATAATTTTAATAGTTAAAATTTCATATAGCCATAGTTTGTAAATAATTAAGGAAAATAACTTTATATTTTAACTAAATAAATGAGGGAGTATCCACTATCTTGAAACAGACATTGTTTAACGCACATAATAAGGTTAAATAAGGGACGCAGCTTCCATTCCAATAATGGACTCGAGAGTATAGTCATGCATATTACAGGAACTATACATTTCGCAAATTATAGCATCGCTTTATCTAAATAATGGATAATCTTGCATGATAAATCTTATTTGGTATATTGGTTGATATTCATATATTTTTATTTTCTCTAGAGCTAAAAAATTTTCGTAATATATGTTAAACATATGATTGATTTAAATCTTCCACAATTTCGTCATAGGAGTATCAAAACAGTTTACGTAATTATTAAGTTTTTCAGGAAATTTAACCAAAGTAATAAACACGAGAATGGGACAGAATCACGGTTTGGTTTGGAAAGATTTTGGTTTTAAAAATAAATATTGTTTTTAATAGTTCGAGACAATTTCAACTTACATATATTTTATATTATTAAACTACTTATTTATTGAACGTCCGTTTAACTTTGGTATTCTAATTGCAATTTAATTAATTGGTTGTTAATTCAAGTACAAATTATTCTACTTCTAGTAACCCATTAAGGAAATGAAATGCTTGTAACATATTTTAAGTAAAAAGAACATTGTTCATTTAGGGTACTGTAGGTAAATAATAAAGGTTTTGATAGTTTGTGCTACATATTACCCTAAATAATCTAAAGATGTGAATACCTTATCTATTTTATTTATGTTTTCCTATAGTACTATATTTCTAATTTTTCTTTTACAGAATCCTATCGGTATTCTCACTACGAGCTCAGGGAAAATTGTGGAAATACGAGAGACGAAAACGCTTAATTCAGAACCTTTCGAGAATACTTACTTTGTAGATCTATTAACTCATTTGCACGCTGAGAGAGTACCTGAAAGAATTGTTTACGCTAAAGCCGCCGGTGCTTTTGGTTACTTTGAGGTAACCAACGATGTATCTAAGTACACTAAAGCCGAAGTTTTCAATGGGGTGGGCAAGAAGACCCCTGTTATGGTTCGAGTATCCACAATGCTTCAAAACAGAGGAGGAACCGATCTAGCCAGAGAATCAAAAGGCTTCTCAGTTAAATTTTACACAAAGGAAGGAAATTTAGACTTACTATGCCTCAATATGCCAGTTTTCTTCCTTAATGATCCTATTGATTTCCCGCATTTACTTCATGCTTTTAAAAGGAATCCAAGACCTCATCTCTACGATTTTAATATGGTTTATGATTTCATAACAAAGAAACCATTCTCACTCTACGGTTATTTATGGACTATGTCTGATTTTGGTATACCAAATGGGTATAGACGTATGGACGCATTCGCAGTTCACACTTTCGAGATCAATAACAAATTTGGAGATCGGTACTTTGTCAAATTTAACTTTAGAACTGAGCAAGGCATAGAAAATTTACCTTCGGATGTTGCACAACAAATAACAGTACGTGATCCAGATTATTACAAACGAGACTTGTATAATGTTATAGAGAAAAAGCAATTCCCTTCATGGATTTTGGAGATGGATGTAATGAGCTTGGAAGATGTAAAAAATATTGATTATAATCCGTTCGACGTTGGTAGAATATGGAAAAATGGTACTTATTGTACAGTACCTATCGGGAGACTTGTTTTGAATAGAAACCCAGATAATGCGTATAGAGTTGCTGAAAGAGTTGCCTATAATCCTGCAAATTTAGTCCCAGGAATTCCTGGACCACAAGACGTATTGTTCAAAGCCAGAAGACAATCTTATCGCGAAGCTCTAATATATCGTTTGGGTGTAAATTACAATAAAATTATGGTCAATGCTCCTCTGTATTCTAAAGTGTACAACCGGGATGGTGTCTCTCCGTTGAGAGATAATATGAAAGATGCTCCTGTATATTATCCTAATTCATTCAGTGGACCTGTACCATATGTTGATCCGGCTCAACCGAAAGAAAAATTACTCATTTACGAGTCGAATGCAGTTGATTTGGAACAACCTGCTCTTTTCTATAATAAAATTCTTCGCACTGATGAAGAGCGGACTAGACTTGCAAAGAATATCGTACCGACATTAGTTGGAGTTTATCCTGAACTTCAGAAACGTTTGATAAACTTGCTTACGTTAATAGATCACAGATTAGGAAACGATGTTGAAGTCTTTCTTGCGAAGGAATTGAAAAAACCACCTCCTAAACCACCAAAAGTTTTAAGTTATTCTCGAAATTTATGGAGCCATCAAGATTTTTGTCCAATGAAACCTGATGGTCATAATAATGAAGATAAAGATATTGATAAAGAATAGGACGTATGATAATTGAAAGTTAAATTATGTCACAATTACTGACGCTTCTTATTCAAAAGGTACATGGCGAGGCAAATAAATAAATTAAATTTTATATCTTTCAAAAATATCATTATTTTATCAATTAATTCTAATAAAATTGTATTTGTATAAAAATTATATCCATTTTTCTTTTTGAATTCTCAAGAAAAAAGGAATAAAATGTATGAATAAACGATTTTTCTTTATTGTGGTAATAAAAGTGATAATAAATGATGTATAAGACGCCTGATTTGTTTCAATTATGTACTATTTAGAATCACGTAGTGTGTGTATTTTTTAAGGAAAACGTTAGTTCTGTTACAATCATTAAAAATTTGCTTTACAAATTTGAGGTTTGTAAAAAGGAATTAGATTTGAAAATTGAACATAATCACAAATCACACAAGTAATACATATAGGGTATATATGTGCCCACATATTTCTTGTTTATCTTTGAATAATTAATATCTAACTCTAGTTCACTCAATTAAAATGTTTTTTCTCATCTAATTAATGCTATTTTAGGATAGCTCGCATTCTAACCCCTCGCCCACGCTTGATTTTACTACTTCGTTTTGAATAAATATAGAACATAATGATTTTATATCATTACTATAAAATATATATTAAAAAATTGTCTAAATACAGGAAAAAAACTGTACATAAGTGCAAAAATATTTATTTTAATATCAAAGGAAAACTAAAGGGCATTTTATACAATTTATTTAAGGCAGTTAGTTTTTGAATTCATGGGAATAAACACGAAGAATCCACATAAATAGGTGTTATGTCAGAAATAAAAGAGACAGTCTTATTACTAGCACATTCTTGTGCCAAAATTTCAGACTTGAGGCGGCATTACATCAAAAAGTATTAAATCATTAACTGTGAAATATTTTACCAATTTAGCTGAAAAATTTATCAACTGCCCATGCGGTTTTAAAAGCAAAACTAAACACATTTCAATGATTTGCGAATAGATTACTAGGATTTTAAATATACAGAGTGACTGGTGAATTACTATCGATATTTGAGGACGTGATATTTGACGATCATATATGACAAAATAAAAATTAATATAACGTAAATATTAATAAACTTCTAAGTAAAGTTAACCAAAAGTTATGTAATTAATTACGCATCGTATGAACACCCTACAGATTAGGTATACACACACACACACACACACAGACACGGCGGCGGCGTAGTGTTGTATCAGCACGCCGCTTCACGCGTCCACACTTGGAACACTTGGAACGTGTACACACTTTATTTATTTATACGGAAATTTGGTCAAAAATTAAGTACCTATTTTTTTTACATAATTCGAATGAGAATCATGTACCGAGTATGCTCCTTAAATATTGATAGTAATTCACCAGTCACCATGTATAATTAGCTATAGTTGTAAACATAAACATTGATATTTTTGGACAATATTAATAATACACCTCTCTCATAGATCGGATTAATAAATTGAGAGCGAATTGTATTGATCTAGCTTCCAAAGTTCCTGAATACCAACTACATTTACTTGACTCCGTAGAACGATCGACAATCCGGTTTGTGGATGACTAGGAATCATTCCGACATTTACGTTGCCTTTGAGTGATCTATCGTATGAAAGGGTTTGTTTAGCAGAATTGTTAAGTAAAACCGCTTCACTGCACATGTATGTGTAATATTTTATTAGAATATTATATTAAAAAATTCTAATACAAATATTTTTACTATAAACAAAGTTTAAATATAGCTGTAGAAAATACAAATAACTTCTATCAAGATAACAAATTTATTTCCCACTAATACATAACTTATTTTAGTATGTGATTCTTGCCGCGACTTATTTCGACACGCTTTTGTTTCTTCTTCTACCTGGCAATTTCCCAGCTTTAACCAGGGTCTGCCTTACATGTTGTGAATAGTTTTAGCTAATTGTTTTTACGATCGGCCGCCGGACTGATATCAACCCTCTATGAGAATGCATTATACCAGTGATATCTAAATACTCTTAGAAAGTACATATGACTCGGAAAAATCACATTGGTACTTGCCAGGGCCAGGATCGAACCCGCGCCCTCATGCATGAGAGGCGGGCCTTTTAACCACTAGGCCACCACTGACTATCGACAAGCTTTTGTTTGTAAAACAATAATTGTTGTTTTACAGAAAGTAATGTAAACACGTCTTCACGTTACTATTGTTAAAGATTTAAGTAAAAAAAAACTGCGTTTTTAGCTCTTTATAACAAATTTTAGAGCAGCCTAACATCAATATAACAAACCTCAGTTTAACGAATTACTTGCTATATCGATTATTTTCTTGATCGCCTCCGATTTGTTATATCGAGGTTGCACTACACTAGTGTTGCCTCCTGTCTATTTATGTCAATTTTATATATTAAGAGCTAATATTACTCATTCAAATATTTTTTTTGTAATATCCATAAAGTTTACTTCAAATATTAAACCATCGTTAATTTGATACTTTATTTATAACAAAAAAGACATCATCCAGTAACAATTTATAAACACGAGCACGAATAACAATAAGGTGTGGAGAAAAAATGTCGTGATCAAATTAGTTTCTTTGGTTGTAGAAAGATGGTTTTTCAGTTTAAAGGTATTTTCTTTTTAAATTTCTCTGTAAAAAAACACAATTTTTATTTATTATGAGAGTATTACTGGGTTCGTTTTTGTCAAAGATTTACTAAAAAATTCTATTCGATTTTAGATTTATATAGATATATTTACAGATATATTTTATATATTTAAAGATATATTTTTTTATGAATAATAATTTAAGCGTTAGTCTTGATGGCACTTTTCCGCAAAATTTTAAATGACATAGAACAATAGGACACTTAATATTCTCATTTGGAATACTACAAATCATTATCAGGATTTGATAGGTTTAAATTCGGATATATTTCATAAGTTCGTAATTAGGTTTGATCACGAAGATATCAATTTCATCATTACTAGATATGCAATAACACGGAATAATAGTTTTTAATACGGATTATTAGGTATAGTAATTAAATTTCTTTGTTGTGGTCATGTTTTGAGACAGAAGTTATTTGAAGGTCTTAAGACTTAGTGTTGTTTAATGGTCTTCTGGTGGTTAAAACTTTCTTCGTGTTATATCCGATGGAAGACATATGCCATCTGTTTTTTTCATAACACAGCACAACAAAATCAAACTTTTTTTTTGTTGCATGAAGTTTTTCTACTGTTGTTTACTAATTTGGGTGCGCTGATTTTAAATCTGACCTCTGATTTTTTGTAGCAGCTCTAGTTAGTCAGATACAGGTCCGTCTTGAATTTACACAAATGGTCAATAGTTTCTACCAATAGCGGTGTAACTTAACTAATCCCTTTATAAATTTCATTATGTCTTCCTCAAGAAAGACATGTTTAAATAATCCCGAGTATTTTTGTGCTATTTGCGGATAATATATGTTCCGAAAATATCGTTTAAGTGTGTCAGACTTTGTAAAAAAGGCATACTTCGGCTACTTTGGGTTTCCGTTGCCATCAAACGCTAAACCTTTGATACCAATTTTGGTGTGTAAAAGTTGTATTGAATCTTTGCGATTATAGGCAAACAAAAAAAGACCAAATTTTAAGTACAAATCTCCCATGATATGGCGTGAACCACCCAACCATCATAACGACTGTTATTTTTGTGTAACGAAAATCATAGGAATAAACCATAAAAATTGCTCTAAGTGGATATATTCAAACTAAAAATCTGTCGTAAGACCAGTCTTTACTATTAGTGACACATCAACACCACAGCAGCCATGTAGATCTTCGGAAATCCAGACCAGTGCAGCGGACAAACCGAAACGACGACAGTGGTAGAGACAATAGTCCCCGATTACTAAATCAAGATGATCTAAATGACTTGATCAGGGATCTTGGCCTGTCTAAAAGTTGATAGATGATAAAAATTTCATCAACCATATGACAGCTATTGAGAAATGTGCATGGGAAGAGTTTGTTTGAGTAGTGAGAATTTTTTTGAGAATACTAAGTCTGACGGCTATATTCAGCACGTTGAACAGTTGCTGATACACTTCCAGCGGCTTGGATGCAACATGAGTATTAAGCTTCACTATCTTCACAGCCATCTAGACTATTTTCCTGAAAATCTAAGTGAGCTAAGCGAGGAACAAGGAGAGCGCTTCCAACAGGATATTCGCTCTATGGAGAACAGGTATCAGGGGCACTGGAAGGAATATATGATGGCTAGTTATTGTTAGAGCATTCAAAATAGTACTCATGATACATCTCACTCTAGAAAATCCACAAAAAGGAAATTTTATTCAGAATAAATATATTTAATAATTTTTTAAACTTCAATTTTGTGCATTTTTAATGAAAAACTCTTTCTCTTCATAACTCCAAAACTAGAGCTGCTACATAAAAACGGCATATATTTTTGAAATAAGCGTGGAAAAACTATTCAGATTCATGTAAAAAATCTCATGCAACAGACATGCTGTTTTCCAGTGTAATCTTTAAGGGTGAGACATATTGTTAGATAAATTATAATCTACTTAAAAAGATTCGTTACATGACAAGGTATCATCAATCCAGCGCCGACCCGTCCCAGATTCATAATTACAGACACATTTAATTTTTTATCGGACTAATTCGTTTGCAGTTTCACTTGAGACAAAAAAATATCTTTACATGTATGATATGTGGAAAAAAAATCACATTGTGATTTATGTTTCACAGTTTTGTTTTAATACTTAATATCTAATTAAAAATTTCCGGGAAGTTAATAAAAACGATACAATTTAAATACAAATATTCGTCGGTTGTGGAACATTGTAGTTTTTATCATAATGGAGGGCGCCGGTGCGTGTAGCTGTTTACTTTTTCTTATTATACAAGCATTGGGCGTATTCACCAGTGATATTGATTATATTGAATATTTAAACAGAACGGATCCAACGAAAATTCAAC